TTTTACTTACTTACTTACATCACTTAGTTAAAGTTAGCAGTTTGTGGGAGGTTCGAGTATTTTTCATCAGTTTTTCTGTAATTAAATTAATTCTGTTTAAAATGTCTTTGCAGGAGTCGCAGCCTGCGCACGCCGCCCAACATGTTCATCATTAATTTGGCCATCACTGACCTCCTGATGTGCATCACCCAGTCGCCCATCTTCTTCACCACCAGCATGCACAAGAGGTGGATCTTTGGAGAGAAAGGTACCAACTGCATGGCTGATATTACAGATGATCTCATTACAAATGCTCCAACAGCACAAACACGGACACGTTCAGGTGAAGCTAACAGACAGCTAGCAGCCACAGCCACCTGTCAGTCAGGCCACGCCCCTTTTTGTTGATTGTAACTATTACAGTTTTTTGCTTTTAAGAGTGTGATCATGATAAAAGTGTAATGTTGTGATGTTTTCACTGTAAGGAAAGGGGCTGTTTGACCTTGGATGACCTCTAAAAACCTTCAGTAAAAATGTTAGCATCACAAACGTAGCGAAGGTGGGGCCAACTTCACTCAGGGTCTGTCTATAAACGCGTACACTGCCCTCTGCTGGATGTAAGTGAAACAACAGAGGCTGGTAACACATGTTTGTCTTACGGCTTTACTGTTAGAAACCTCTTGACCAATCTTGCCTCTTCACAGGTGTTTCCCTTCACCGTGTCCGACGTGTGACTGAATTTGAGCTTCAGGGGTTAAAATGATTGTTTTATTTTCTATCTGCAGCTTCTTTTCCATTCTTCTCCACCACGATGTGAACCAGTAACTTTCAGCTCAGAGAGAAGAGCGCTGTGTTTGAGTCGCTCAGAGAGACGCTGGGCGAAGACGGTTTATTTGTCACAGGAAAGAAGAGACGTTTAAAGCGACTCTCTCTCTCTGTCGCCTGCAGGTTGCGAGCTGTATGCTTTCTGTGGCGCTCTGTTTGGGATCTGCTCCATGATCACGATGACGGTGATCGCTATCGACCGCTACTTCGTCATCACGAGGCCTCTCACATCCATTGGAGTGCTGTCTCGGAAGCGGGCCCTCCTCATCCTCGTGGCGGCCTGGGCCTACTCGCTGGGCTGGAGCCTGCCGCCGTTCTTCGGATGGAGTGAGGACACGCGGCACGCCACATTTAGAATACTGTATACGACAGCACGTGACAGTAGCGGCGTTTATTAGACTGAATAACGCTTTAACGTCCAGATCAAAACGGTCCAAAGAACAACCTCTCTATGTGTTAACGTTTCAGGCGCCTACGTCCCCGAGGGCCTGATGACCTCCTGTACGTGGGACTACATGACCTTCACGCCGTCTGTGAGAGCCTACACCATGCTGCTCTTCATCTTCGTTTTCTTCCTGCCTCTCTTCATCATCATCTACTGCTACATCTTCATCTTCCGCGCCATCCGCAACACCAACCAGTCAGTTTGAATCTCAAATGTCGTTCGTTCAGCTGTGCCTGACTTCAGCGACTGACTGACGCTCGTGTGCGTTTCAGGGCGGTGGGGAAGATTAATGGCAGCGTTCACAGTCACGGCAGCACTCGTGATTCCATGAAGAGTTTCCAGCGGCTGCAGAACGAGTGGAAGATGGCGAAGATCGCGCTCATCGTCATCCTGCTCTATGTCATCTCCTGGTCGCCGTACTCCACCGTCGCCCTCACCGCCTTCGCCGGGTAAAACACTCAAACCTCCACACCTGTGAAAACGTGTCATCTGAGTCGAACTACAACAAAACTCTGAGCTTTGTGTCGCTGGACTTCCTCTGATGGCCACTAGGTGCCGCTCTCTGTCTCTTAGAGAAATGTGGCTCGTTTATTTCAGCTCATTTACATTTTTGTCCACTTTAAAGATCTTTGTTAAAAAGCGTTTCTCATCCAAGCTCATCGCCGAGGCTG